GGGGCGTGAACCGTCTAATTTCACACACGCACTTAACTTCACGGGGTGAAATAATTAGGTCAAGGTAAGCAGTGAAATCAGGACAGCACTAAGAAAAGGGGTCAGTCGTTTAAAACAATCGGGGGGGGGGGGGTCTACAGGATCAATATTTACAATAGCTCGTCAAAAAGCCGAACCTTGTCCACAGAAGAAATGACTAGTCAAGCGGAAAACGAAATTAAATTAATGATAACTTACAGTCGGGGGGGGGGGGGGGTGGTGAGGTAAATCAGCGCCAATTAAAGACGACGATTTTAAAATAATTAGGGTGGTAAATTATCCACGCCTACACTTGGACTTATTTCACGGTGAGTGTGACGTCACTTGGCGCTGATGACGTCATAAAATGATTCAAGCATTCTGGTGGGGCGGGAGGGGGGGGGGGGGTTTGGTGTGGTGGGTGGTTTGATCTAGTGGAGGCTGGGTAGGTTTAGATGGTAATGGCGTGTGTTGAGTGATCAGGGAATGGTGAGTGATGAGTGAGTGATAGGGGTGTGATGAGGGTGTGTTGAGTGATGGATGTGAGTGAGTGATGGATGAGTAATACGTGAGTGAGTGGCTGTACTCGACAGACGGTAATTGGAGCCATTGGTCAGTGAATAATTCCAGCAATCTTAGAGCCAGTCAGGAGCGTCACTGGCCCAGAGCGAGTACAATGGAGCTCTGAGAGTCGCTGCTCCCCCACACCCTCGCGTCAAATTACCCCCCCCCCCCCCATGTCCACACACCCTGTGCCCGCCAGGGACAATCCTCGAGCAGGGTCAGTCGGACATTTCGACCAACCCGGACATTAGTTTAACCAGTCGGACATGAGAACAATCGGACATAGGAATAATCATCCGGACAGGGAGACCGGAAAACTAAACACATCATTTCATATCCGGTCAGAAATCAGGGGAAAAAAAACAGCAAACCGGTTGAGCGCCGGACAAAAATGTCGAATTGATTTCCTCGAACAAAAACTAAAAAATGGACAGAAATTTTTTTTTTTTTAAATGTCGCTGTGCACTTTACGTAATGTTAAAAAAAGATTCAATCAAAAATATGCATTACTGCTACAGAATGTTCACTTCATTTTTTAAAAAATATATGAGCAAATCCTGAGCAAGTCTGTTTGACCAATGACAATAGGCGGTATTACTGTACAGAGTGGGGTGAAACTCCAGTGTAGAGCAATTATAGCCTTTTAGATTTTAATAACATTAAATCTGGTTACGTTAAGGCACGGTTAAGGCAATGATCTTTTTACTTAAAAAAAAAAAATAAGAACCATCCTAATTTGGATTATATTTTGCAGTTGCATATTTTGAATACTTCCAAGTATTTATATAATTAATTTATATAATTAACTAGTTACAGTTTCTAAGGGTGGAGAAATTTTTTTTTAAAGCACAAAAAAATTGTTTCTTTTTTCACCCTCATGATTTCGTGAGTCCCTGACGTCACGAGCGGGGAATCCCGGTCCAGCTATTGGCGGCTTTGCTCATGTCTGGGCGAGATTAACAAAATGTAAACAGCGTCAAGGAAGTTGTTCAAAGAGTTAAGTCCCCTGCTCTACACAGACTAGCAGGAAGGGAGGTAATGGAAGGCTGTAATGGCTTGCCACACGACATTTAGGACTAATAATTAATCGAATTATTAATTTAAAGCTGCAGTACTGAAAGGTTTGTTTTTAAAAGGTGCCGGAGGTAGCTGGTATTAAACTAGTTTTATCTTGTGGGGGTGGTCAGACTGGGGGGGGGGGGGGGTGGGGGTCAAACTGGCGGGGTGTTGTGAGGCTCTGCTGACTATGCAGCATTAACAAAATCTGGTCACCATTTCCCCACCAGCAGACGGTAATTTTATTTCAAGTTCCCTGTGGAATTTTTTCAAAACCCACGACACGACCTGATTTCCTTTCTCCTCAACCTAGTCCCACCCCCCCCCCCCACCCCCCACACACAATTAGGTGAAAACAACACCCTGTAAATTGGCACACTGTTAGGTCGATAAAGTCAAAACCCACCCCTGGCCAGTTTATTTGACCTACACCCCACCAGCCATCTATTTATAACCCACCTCCCACCGGTGGGGGGGGGGGGTTATATAAATTGTTGGGGGTTGGGTCATTTTAACTGGTGGGGGATGGGTCGTGGGTCATATAAACTGTTGGGGGTTGGGTCTTTTTAACTGGTGGGGGATGGGTCGAGGGTCATATGAACTGGTTGGAGGTGGGACATATACAGACTTTATGTTCTAAGTGATATGTTACGAAACATAAAGTGATGGTGAGGTAATCTTATGGTGAGGTAATGTGATAATATCATATAAAGCCATCTTATGAACACGGAAATAACAAAGAACACAGAAATAACAAGGATAATATAAGCGTGACAAGATCGATGTGTGTTGCATGAAGCCAAACCTTGACAAGTTAAACATTCACAGTCCCACCACAACCTTCCAGCAAACTTACAGTTAAAAGAATGTCTAACATCTCGTGGTTTTAAAGATATCGATCAGAACAGAAGGCGAGACGAGACGTGGATTCACGAAACACGGGAAATTGATGTTCTAGAACAGATCTCTCCTGACCCCAAACTTGTAGTTGGATCAGAACATTCCAGAAGATTCCAGTTGACAGGTTTTGGCCGTCCTACCTGTCGGCGTGGTCGGGTGGGGGTGTGTTTTGTTGTAACCCGAAAAGTCCCGAGTTCGAATCACCGGGCAGGCGAAGCTCGTTAACTGGGGACAGCAACCCGTAAGGGAATGAAAACTCCGAAATCAAACAGGAGTAGCGGGCCTTGGTCCCAGTGATTACACTGTTTGTGTGTGGCTATTGTGTGGCTATTGTGTGGCTATTGGTCAGTTTGTGTGTCCATGTCCGAGTTTGTTGTTATTGTCTGTTCCCTACAACAGGATCAGTACACAGAATTCAATGGTTTAATGAAAGATTTTGTTTACTCCGGGTTTTTAAACATTCGTGTATGTACTTGAAGCGAATATTTTTTTAAAGAAATATAAAGCAAGAAAAAAAAAACGATTGCATAAGATAACACAGGGAGAAGATAACCCCGCCATGTTGAACATTTTTCACGTGAGAAAATCAAGGGAGGTAACTTTTAAGTCAAGTGCTAGACAACTCTAGGGAGATATGAACTTGTTTTATTGGATGAAAACATTTGGTAAACAGGACGCTTGCCACAGCCGTTTTTATCAACTTTAGGATGGGGGTTTAGAAAGGAGATGTCTGTATACCCCCCACCCCCAGTATACAGAAATCTCCTTTCTAAAATCCCATCTAAAAGGGGAGATTTCTGCATATGGGGGGGGGGGGGGGGTCTTTAAGATGAGATTTTAGAAAGGAAATTTTTGTATACATGTTTCCCCAGTGGATTAGGAAGTGACGTAGGCCACCTAGGTCGTAGGTTCGGGTCCAGGTCTGAGCTAGAAGTGAATTCAACAAAACCTCTAACTTTTAAATAAATCTTGCTGGGTACGGTATTTAGCTGAGCATATCAGCTGTGCTGTGACGCGTGAAACGGAAGTTCACATTTCAACTGTCAGCTGTTGTAAACCTGTGAACATAAGCATTTTTGTCACGTTCTATCACGTGCCTGTACCACTTTTCTGATCACATGGTTGTATCACGTGATCACGTCCCAACATTATCGTCATGTTAACCAACTTCTGACGATTCTCGCTTCACTAATTTCTGACACCAATACAAATCTTTCTCCACTACACACATGTCCGACCCCTAGATCATTCATGACCTCTCCCACTTAAAGAACACCCCCCCCACACACACACACCCTCTATCTGTGACCCTCCTATGCAGTACATACGCACCAGAAATTGGTTTCCGACAAATCTAATTACTGGAATCGATTCCGTGGCTGTGATTAAAAAATGTGATTAAAATAACAGATATTTTGAAACTCGATCTTTGTAATTGTATTCAAGTGCGGCAAGCAAAGTGCTTGGTCAGATATTCCATCATGTGCTTTAGATATCCCACCCAGTGCTACAGATATCCCACCCAGTGCTACAGATATCCCATCCAGTGCTACAGATATCCCACCCAGTGCTACAGATATCCCATCATGTGCTACAGATATCCCATCCAGTGCTACAGATATCCCATCATGTGCTACAGATATCCCATTAGTGCTACAGATATCCCATCATGTGCTACAGATATCCCATCCAGTGCTACAGATATCCCATTAGTGCTACAGATATCCCATCCAGTGCTACAGATATCCCATCCAGTGCTACAGATATCCCATCCAGTGCTACAGATATCCCATCCAGTGCTACAGATATCCCATCCAGTGCTACAGATATCCCATCCAGTGCTACAGATATCCCATCATGTGCTACAGATATCCCATTAGTGCTACAGATATCCCATCATGTGCTACAGATATCCCATCCAGTGCTACAGATATCCCATTAGTGCTACAGATATCCCATCCAGTGCTACAAATATCCCATCATGTGCTACAGATATCCCATCCAGTGCTACAGATATCCCATCCAGTGCTACAGATATCCCATCCAGTGCTACAGATATCCCATCCAGTGCTACAGATATCCCATCATGTGCTACAGATATCCCATTAGTGCTACAGATATCCCATCATGTACTACAGATATCCCATCCAGTGCTACAGATATCCCATCCAGTGCTACAGATATCCCATTAGTGCTACAGATATCCCATCATGTGCTACAGATATCCCATACAGTGCTACAGATATCCCATTCAGTGCTACAGATATCCCATCATGTGCTACAGATATCCCATCCAGTGCTACAGATATCCCATCCAGTGCTACAGATATCCCATCCAGTGCTACAAATATCCCATCCAGTGCTACAGATATCCCATCCAGTGCTACAGATATCCCATCATGTGCTACAGATATCCCATCATGTGCTACAGATATCCCACCCAGTGCTACAGATATCCCATCATGTGCTACAGATATCCCATCCAGTGCTACAGATATCCCATTAGTGCTACAGATATCCCATCCAGTGCTACAGATATCCCATCATGTGCTACAGATATCCCATCATGTGCTACAGATATCCCACCCAGTGCTACAGATATCCCATCATGTGCTACAGATATCCCATCATGTGCTACAGATATCCCACCCAGTGCTACAGATATCCCATCATGTGCTACAGATATCCCATCATGTGCTACAGATATCCCATCATGTGCTACAGATATCCCATCCAGTGCTACAGATATCCCATCATGTGCTACAGATATCCCATCCAGTGCTACAGATATCCCATCCAGTGCTACAGATATCCCATTAGTGCTACAGATATCCCACCCAGTGCTACAGATATCCCATCATGTGCTACAGATATCCCATTAGTGCTACAGATATCCCATCCAGTGCTACAGATATCCCATCATGTGCTACAGATATCCCATCATGTGCTAAGATATCCGATCCAGTGCTACAATAACCATCCAGTGCTACAGATATCCCAGCCAGTGCTACAGATATCCCATCCAGTGCTACAGATATCCCATCATGTGCTACAGATATCCCATCATGTGCTACAGATATCCCATCATGTGCTACAGATATCCCATCATGTGCTTTAGATATCCCATCATGTGCTACAGATATCCCATCATATGCTACAGATATCCCATCCAGTGCTACAGATATCCCATCATGTGCTACAGATATCCCATTATGTGCTACAGATATCCCATCCAGTGCTACAGATATCCCATCCAGTGCTACAGATATCCCACCCATTGCTACAGATATCCCATCATGTGCTATAGATATCCCATCCAGTGGTACAGATATCCCATCATGTGCTACAGATATCCCATCATGTGCTACAGATATCCCATCATGTGCTACAGATATCCCATCATGTGCTACAGATATCCCATCATGTGCTACAGATATCCCATCATGTGCTACAGATATCCCATCCAGTGCTACAGATATCCCACCCAGTGCTACAGATATCCCATCCAGTGCTACAGATATCCCATCATGTGCTACAGATATCCCATCATGTGCTATAGATATCCCATCCAGTGGTACAGATATCCCATCATGTGCTACAGATATCCCATCCAGTGCTACAGATATCCCATCATGTGCTACAGATATCCCATCATGTGCTACAGATATCCCATCCAGTGCTACAGATATCCCATCATGTGCTACAGATATCCCATCATGTGCTACAGATATCCCATCATGTGCTACAGATATCCCATCTAGTGCTACAGATATCCCATCCAGTGCTACAGATATCCCATCCAGTGCTACAGATATCCCATCCAGTGCTACAGATATCCCATCCAGTGCTACAGATATCCCATTAGTGCTACAGATATCCCATCCAGTGCTACAGATATCCCATCCAGTGCTACAGATATCCCATCCAGTGGGTCCTAGGACCTTTGACCACAGGTGCTTTGATCATAGGGGGTTTGACCATAGGGGGTTTGACCACAGCGGACCTTTGACCATAGGGGCTTTGACCATAGGGGGTTTGACCACAGCGGGGCTTTGACCATAGCGGTGCTTTGACCCTAGGGGGTTTGATCATAGGGGGTTTGACCATAGGGGGTTTGACCACAGGTGTTTTCTCAGCAGAGGGTCTTTGATCACAGGTGGTCTATCAACGGGTGTTTGATCACAGGTGGTCAACGGGTGTTTGATCACAGGTGGTCTATCAACGGGTGTTTGATCACAAGCGCTGCGTCCGGCTTTAATCATAGGGTCTTTGAGCTCAGGTGTTTTGACCACATAGGGTCTTTGATCTTAGGTGGTTTGTCCAATGCTGTCCATATATGGTAAGGATTTATTTTAAAAGTTGCTAAATTATATTTAAAATTTCGACATGATGTAATAATATGTTAAATCATCATGTATAAATACAAGTCATCTAAACTACTCTATGTCAAAACCATGGAGAATCTCGGAGAGTATAGCACGTCGAAAAAAGGTAAAAGAACTTTGTTGTATCGTGGCCACGAGTTTTGGCTACACAGAGAACAAATGCACACGATTGGCGATGGTGTAGCACGAACAAATAACATTTGTGAAGGTTGGCATTACAGTCTTCAGTCTCTCCTCCAATGAAGTCACGTAACAATGTGGCGTTTCCTTGAAGGTCTACAGATAGACTGCACACGGCAAAAGACAACTTTCTTGCAAGGTGTCGCAGGGGCAAGCTACCCAACTGAGAAGCGATACAAGATGCTGCACGAAAAAGTACAACGTGCTGTCCAGACATATGGTCAAACAGATGTACTGACATATTTGCGTGCTATAGCACATCTGTCATTTAGTTAACCATTTTATGTATTACACCTTCGACTATATTGTTGGCAAGTTTTGTATCATTTTTTATCCTTTATATATGCTATGTATTTTCAAGTACATCTACATTATTTATTTGTGAAACTTGTTATATGTCGCATTATTTGTGTTTCATTTATATTTAAAATAAATTTATGAGGCCTAGCACCAGCCTTTATGTGGAGACTAAAATATAGTTCTTGGCTTTTTTTAAATACATGTTAATTTCTATTAACGTACTATCAGGAAACATGTATAAAATCGTGTTAATTGTATCACACCTATGATCAAAGCCGGACACAGCGCTTGTGATCAAACACCAGTTGATAGACCACCTGTGATCAATGACCCTCTGCTAAGAAAACACCTGTGGTCAAACCCCCTATGGTCAAACCCCCTATGATCAAACCCCCTATGGTCAAAGCACCGCTATGGTCAAACCCCCTATGGTCAAAGCCCCTATGGTCAAAGCTCCGCTGTGGTCAAACCCCCTATGGTCAAAGCACCTGTGGTCAAAGGTCCGCGCACCCATCCAGTGCTACAGATATCCCACACATGTTTTAGACATAACACAATCACATTCAACTTCAAGTCACAGAACGACAAGCAGATTTTAAAAAATATATCCTATCAGCAGCAATCCTAAATCAATACAAAAAAACGTCCAAAAGATACGTGGTAGGTTGTTTGTGTTCGCTAGTTACCGAACCGTGAGAAAGTAAAAAAAAAATGGCCATAAAATGCAAATTAAATCGGCTTATTTCTCCGTAATGGTGTTGGATTACTATTTTTAAAAAGAAATAACATGTTGATGACGTCATTTCAATCATTATCTGCTTCCACTTGACGGAATTAATGAGAATCCATCCATCTCTAGTTCAACGGTCCATCATTTTTTAAATGTTATCCTTAGATAAATATCCCACGTAGAGCCACTCCTACACAAGCCTCTCCCCCCCCCCCCCCACATACCCACCCCCACGGCCTGACCATCCCGATGTTCTATTGAAGTCACGTGCCGTGTGTCTATATTTAGAGTTGTACCAATTCTCAGAGAATCGATCAGCTGATAGATGTACCAGCCAGGTGTCGTTGTGTCACCTTTTAACATTTACCTGACCTACTTTCTGGCACTCTATTTGCATCTATTTTAGAATAAAGTTTTGAAACCTTCAGTCGCAACTCACACACACACACACACACACACACACAGACTCGCAGAGAGAGAGAGAGAGAGAGAGACTCACACACACAGACTCACACACACACACAGACACTCAAACACACAGACTCACACACACACAGGGACACTCATACACACAGACTCACACTCACACACACACACACACTCCGCTTGTCTTACATTCTGAGACCCCCGGGCCAGCACCTCAATTTTATGTCCCCTAAGTAGGATTCTCTATGAACGACCCCCGACTACAGGGGTTAATGGCCACAACTGTGGGTCAAACGACCCAGACTTAAAACCCCTGGACAACATCGTCTGTTAATGATCCGATCCGAGGGTCAAACGACCCAGGTTTAGACCCCCTGGACAAGGTCCAATATTTATGACCAACCAACCAAGCTGGAACAAGCTACAAGGTCGAAAAATTCACAGACTGTGACGTCATCAACAGCAAGGCGGAAGTCGTTGCCCGCTGTAATTTATTTTTTTTTTAAAGGTAGCCACACATTCTTGACATCACATTTTTGTAATGTATCGAGAGAAATTGGTCGTAAAGATGCAAAACTATTATGTTCTTAAGATGATAGGAGCGTCATTAACATCTTCAAGAGCTGATCAAGATTGGCGGGTTACAAAAATTGTATTAAACACGACAAAGGCCGTTCTGATATCGGTAAATAATTATTGGGAAAACCCGGTCCTTGTTTAAAGACATTTTTTTTAAAGCTGGATTAATTTGAACGTTTGATGGATTTCGAAATGACGGTTGGGGGTGTTAATAGATGAGGAAAAGGTGTGTGGGTAGGGGGGGAGGGGTAATAGCTGACAAAAGCAGGGGCGTTAAATACTGTGAATATTGAGGGGGTGTTTAAAAAAAGCTGAGGTAAGAAGGTGTTAAATGGCCAAGGACGTCCTTACATCTAGTGAGAGTTCTAGCGTAGTGCTCCCAGTGTGATCACCGTGTAAGTGATTCAATTACCGCTGTAGTGGTCGGCAATTACACGTGTATTGATCACCAGTAACGAGTGGGGTCACCAGTTACATAGGTCTTATAAGGGGAGGGGGGGGGTGGTCACATGACAATAGTGACGTCATCGGTTGATGTAATTTCTTTAAGGGAGTCTGAGTGCACTAAAAGTGTCTGAATAATTGTTGTGGTGGGTGGTGGTGATGGTGATGGTGATGGCTGTGGTGGTGGTGGTGGTGATGGTGGTGGTGCTGGTGATGGTGCTGGTAATGGTGGTGGTGATGGTGGTGGTGGTGATGGTGATGGTAGTGGTGCTGGTGATGGTGTACTGTGATGGTGTGGTGGTGGTGTGATGGTGTGGTGGTATAACAAGGGTTGGCTGACGAAATAAGACGAGGACATTCGGAACAAAGTGTCGGTCAAGGGTTCAAAGGTCAAACTGTTCTGGCATAATCAGGCAAGTGTTGAAGTCAAGACGACCTTGACTTAATGACTTAATTAGGTACCACCTGATAACGTGTGGGGGTGGGGGCGGTCTGTGTTTTTCTCTCCGAAACAACAAGTTGTTGTGATGCTAGCTATGAAAATATTTTGCCGATATTGTGGAGATAGAAAGACAGACTGATCTGAGAGTGGACAAAAACTAGCAGGACAGACAGACAGACAGACGGACGGACGGAAAGACGGACAGACGGACAGACGGACAGACAGACAGACGGACGGACGGACGGACGGACAGATAGACGGACGGACGGACGGACGGACGGACAGACGGACAGACAGACGGACAGACAGATATCAACATCGAGCGATATTTGAAGGAGACCTATTTCTATTAGATGAAAGCCTATTGTTTTAAGTGTGAAGTGTATAAAATATGCCTCCCCCCCCCCCCCCGATTGTTCCAAACATCATGTAATGATATGTCAAAAAGAAATGTCAAAGGTAAAAGTACCAGGTCAAGGCCATGGGAAGCCACTCATGTGACGCATCACATGACCATGTTGTAGAGCGAGGGAAAGTGTGTTTAAAACAAACTGGCTGTGAATGTTTTATGTGAACCAACGGTGGTCAAACCACCTTTAGTGATCAGGTACCATAGTCTCTTGTTCTCTCGATCACACCCCATAGGAGGCCCTCCCAACCACCTGTCACCCCTCCTCCAACAACCCTCCCTCCTTCCCACCTCACCATGGAGAGAGGGGGGGGGGGGGCGTGATAGAGGGTAACATCCAACTCTTTTCAACTTGCTGCCTCAAACTTCCAAGCTCCTTACGTTTCCTCTCTCTCTCTCTCTATCTATCTCTCTCTATCTCTCTATCTCTCTCTCTCTCTAACTCACTTGAGTTTCCTCTCTTCCATAATCTGCCTCTGTTTCTTATGGACCCACTTACACTGACGCTAGCACTTACACTTACACTAGCACTTAGTTGTAGAAGACAATGTATTCCATTAGGGTCCTCTTAGATTGTGTCCCCACTATTACTCCATTAAATGGATTTTCCCCCCTCTTTTCCATTCCATAATCTCAATCTACAATCACATTAGTCAACAATCATGGGCTACAATCACAACAATCTGCAATCATTACAACATAGGTCTAGACCAGGGACAAATAACCCATTAGTATACACAACAACAACGCACACACAGACGCACACCCAGACGGACAAATGGGCAAAAGCCATTTACTTTTTTGGCCCCATTAAGTGAAAAACCTGGCCACTCTCCCACGAGGCTAACGAGATGTCGCGGGGTCAAGGCCACATGTAAATAAGCTGTCAGCCAATCGCGCTGTTGTCGAATCAAATGCACACACAAAAATCTCTGAACAGCTTGCAAAAAAAAAACTGATGATAATTACAGCCAATTTAAAATCAATCTTCCGATCACCGTTTGGATTTTTCTCTCACGGGGTCAAGGTCACAGCGACCTTGTGAACCATCTAGAAAT